AAGACCACAAACCAACAACCAAAACTGAAGCTCCATTATTAACAGACATCTATCCAAAATTTCCACCGGTGTCGTTCACGGTCACCACACGTTGTCTCGTGTCTCACTCTCACGACCCCTCTCCCCTCCCTCGCCTATACTCTGCATCGAGTAAAATTCCAGAATCCCAACAATTTATAAATACATATAGATACAAAAGTGAATACGGATACAGAGTACAGATTCTGTATCGGGTTTGCACATGTTGTCCGTATTCTTACTGTAAGAGGTTTATATTGAGTGGATGCATTCTGTATCCGTATTATGACATCTTTGGTTGAGGTAGACTGAATGTATTATGTTAGCATCTGTTTATAATGATGCATAGTCAGGAAAATTAATAAGCAGAAAACGATGTATGATGTGAAAAAAACGTCATGTGAGACGAATCGACGGGAAACTTCACGTTAGAATTCTTTACCGATTATGCAAAGACATACTTTGGCTGCAACTGAAACCGAGAACGATTTGTGAAACTGTTAGTAAAAACATCACATTTTACTCTTTTATCGGCACTTTGACATAGTGTGTATTTAGGGGAGAGGCGAATACTAAAGTAGTGTATTCATAAGAGTCGTTTTACGTACTTTTTCGAATATGCTTAACGAAAACAATGCGTATATATTTGTTACCTTATAAAATTTTGAAAAAGTTTGTTTAATACATAGGGCACTCCAAAAGTTTTTTCCTCTGGCTCTCTTAAAAGCCGTAGTTTAAGTTGAACTATTCTATTATAATGGTTAGACATATTTAGGATTATGTGCAAAAGTGCACATTTAAAAGTCTTGTGCGTCGCTGTATTTTTAAATTTCTTTCAGATCAAAGATATAAAATTTTTTATATGAATTTTGAACTCACGTGAATAATTTCGAACAATGATTTTATATGACTGGAAAACTGGCTTAACGCACAATGCAAGTCATGTCCGTTTAGTGCAAGCATGGGGGGACTAAGCGCCTTCTGATCGTACAGTTCGCAATTGGTATCATGAATTTGACCGTAGCAATTTCAGTGTTGAAGATGCTGCCCGTTCAGGTCGTCCTCGAACTGCGATCAACGAAGAAACAATTGATGCTGTCCGATCAATAATCGAAGATGATCCTCATTCAGCATACGAACAAATTGAACACACCTTGGGCATTGGTTCGTCAGCGGTCAATTCAATTATTCATGAATATTTAAAGTTGCACAAGATGTGTACTCGATGGGTTCCTCATCAACTCACCAATGACCAAAAACAGTTCTGTATTCAATTGTGTCGAGATTCACTTGAAAGATTTGAAGGAGGTCAATCCTGTCGTGTATTCGACATTATAACTGATGACGAATCATGGTTCTATCATTATGATCCAACAACAAAAGAGCAATCAAAAGTTTGGGTGTCACAAACTGATCCGCGATCAACCAAAGTTCATCGATACAAAAGTTCCGGCAAGCGAATGGTGGCGATTTTCCACATGAAATCCGGTTTAATCAAGTCCATACTATTAGAACGTGTTGAAACGGTAACAAAGAGATGGTATGTCGATAGCTGTCTACCACAAGTCTTCGAAACAGTATCGGAATGGCGACAAAAGACTGGTCTTCGTGGTCTCATTTTGCATGATGATAACGCGAGGCCGCATAGAGCCGGAATTGTTCCAAATAAAAATGAAATTAAATAAGAGGTAGAAGTAATCAAGATAACTGGTAATTACTACTCATATTTAAAAAAAATTATTTTTCAAAAAGAACTTAATTTGTCAGCTGTAGTTTCAAAATGTTTATAAATAATACTGCTCAAAGCAATGTAGTCTCACTCT